ATATATATATATATATATATATATATCTTCTATATATATATATATATATATATATATAAAGTAGTCGGGTTTCCTTCCAGACGAAATAACTCCAGAACGCACCGTAAACGCACCGTAATTAAAAATTCGAGTGATGCATTAGTGAGAATTATTAGAATTATGCTTGGTTAAGTCAACGAGCAATTCTTGCCGCACAGAATAATGATGTACACGCACTGAATTTCACCATTCAATCAAAAATTGCTGGCGATTTGGTGACATACCAATGATTCCGACTGGTCTTCCGTTTGACTTCAAACGATTGCAATTTCCAGTTCGCCTTGCGTTCGCAATAACAAGTCGCAAGGCCAATCGCTTAGTGTTTGCGGGATAAATTTCAAATAGATTATTTAGAAAATCATTGTTTTCCACATGGGCAGTTATACGTTTCCTGCTCACGAGTTGGAAAACCATCCGCTTTGTTTGTGTTAACGTCAGACCAAAAAACAAAAAATATGGTTTACCAAAGAGCACTTCAATGATAACTGATAATTTGCGAATTCACTTTCATTTACGTAGAGAAGTTCAACTAAAAAACACTTCATTTTTATAATCGAAATAAATTCATTACTGTTGTATAATAAAATCAAATTTTTCCTTTTCAAATATAAAACAAACAAACAATTTCTTCATCTTGGTTGCTAGTATATATATATATATATATATATATATATATATATATATAAATATAGCCAAAACCTGAGTAAACGCCTTAATCAACACAAAAATAATTCAAAAAATCCCAAGCAATTTAAAACAATGTTAACTGAGCATATTAAAAATTTAAATCATAATATCGATTTTTTTAACCCTAAAATTTTACATTTTGAAGAGAATACAATTAAAAGAAGATTCGCTGAGGGGTTGTTTTTACAATTACATAACGACAGAGTCATAAATAAACGCTTTGACAATACGGCCCTGAACGAAGCGAACACGTGGTTTCTTAATAGCGTGTCAAAATTCCTTAAAAAATAACAAAATCCCATCTTTTAATTTTCCAAAAAATATCAACACATGCTAAAAACTACTTTGAGAAGAAAGTTGTGACATTTCTATCCTAAACTCGAAGAGTAAATACATAGTTTCGAAAACTTGTCAAGTTATCATGATTATTAGTGTGTTTTACCATTTGTGATGTTTGTGTTAAAAAATATATATCTTATCAATGTGCACATACTCATACATGGATTAATAATGTTTTTATATGTTATATTAGGATACAAAAAATTTTATTTGATTACCACTGAATGATGGCTAAGATGCTAGCCGAAACGTATGGATTTTAAATAAATAAATTTTTAAAAAAAACTCATACTATTTTTTGAGTTACGTTACGCCCGAATATTAAATCAAATTAAACATATATATCAACATCAAATTCAGACTATTCAAATATATATATATTATATATAATATATATATATTATATATATTATGATACAGTTTTGCAGCCACAAGTCGAAAAATAAAACCAGAAACGTAAATATAAATCTTTTTAGTACGTTTCGAGCTATTGAATGATGAGCTAACAGAATAGCTCGAAACGTACTAAAAAGATTTATATTTACGTTCTGGTTTTATTTTTCGACTTGTGGCTGCAAAACTGTATCATAATAATGTTTCAAAGTCGAAACAAACAATATCAAGATATATATATATATATATATATATATATATATATATATATACTAGTATACCCGGTCACGCTTTGCTGTGGCTTCTACTAAAATTCAAGCATAATTTTTGTCTTAGATCATCCAAAGGTTCTCCACACCCGTGCAACAGTCAAGGACGACGAAAAAAGCGCCGATTTTTGGACTAAACAGGCCAAAGAAAAATTGAACAAACGCCTAGAACGCAAAGAGAACACTAATGATGCCAAAAACATCATCATTTTTATCGGAGACGGGATGTCCATACCGACTTTGACTGCCGCCAGACTTCTTTTAGGGGATGAAAATAAACAGTTGTCTTTTGAGAAGTTCCCTTACACAGGATTATCAAAGGTAACTAGAAATTGACCAACAAAAAAAATCGAAACTTATTCAATTGATTTATTTTTATTCTAGACTTATTGTGTGGATGCCCAAACTGCTGATAGTGCTTGCAGTGCTACTGCCTATTTGTGTGGTGTCAAGACCAACGATGGCCTAATTGGTGTCACTGCCAATGTAACTCGGGATAATTGCGAACACATGGCAAATAAAGGCAACCATGTTACATCCATTGCCAAATGGGCACAGGATGAAGGAAAAGCCACAGGTAAAAAAAAACCATGAAGTACAAATTGTGCTAAATCAAATATTGCTTTTTTCTCCAGGTATTGTTACTACTACCAGAGTGACCCACGCCTCACCAGCCGGTACCTTCGCCCATACGGCAGACCGAGATTGGGAATCAGACACAGACGTCATTAAAATGGGCAATGCTGATCCTGAAAAATGCAGAGACATAGCCTACCAGCTAGTTCACGAAGAACCTGGTAAAAACTTCAAAGTCATCCTGGGCGGCGGTCGCCAAAAATTCCTGCCCAAAGATATCAAAGATGAGGAACAAGAACCTGGTCAAAGGAGCGATGGTAAACATTTGATCGATGAATGGAAAACCGAGATGGGTAAAAAGGGTAAAAGTGAATACGTTTGGAACAAAAAGCAACTGAATGCTGTGGATGCTGACAAGACTGATTATTTACTCGGGTTGTTCGAGAGTAGTCACTGCAAGTACCATTTGGATGTGGTCGATGGTAATTTGGAGAGCAAGGAGCCTAGTTTAGCAGAAATGGTGAACAAGGCTATTGATATTTTGAACAAGGAGGAGAAAGGATTCTTTTTATTCGTTGAAGGTAACTAAATACAAAACCTTCTGGTTGATAAATTATTATTTCTGGTGTTGCGCATTTTAGGTGGCAGGATTGATCAGGCTCATCACGATACAAAACCACGCAAAGCCTTGGATGAAACTTTAGAGTTTGCAAAAGCTGTGCAAGTTGCACTCAACAAAACCAGCGAGGATGATACTCTGATAGTAGTCACTGCAGATCATGCACATACGATGAGCATTTCAGGATACCCGGTAAATATTAACCAGAAAATAATTACCAATTTCTTGATATCTAGTACCTCTGATGTTTCCTTTCTTTAGGATCGTGGCAACGACATCTTCGGTGCAGCAGTCGCCAAAGTCGACGACCGCCTCCCAATAGCAACCTTAACCTACGCCAATGGCCCAAGTTACAACCAAAACATGTCAATACTGGGGGAGGGCGCAAAGATTTCACAAAAGTTGTCAATTACAAAACCAAGGACTACCAGGCTCCAGCCCTTGCACCCTTGGTCCAGGAGACCCATGGGGGAGATGATGTGGCAGTTTTCGCCAATGGCCCTTGGGCCCATCTGTTCACCGGAAATTATGAACAGCATTTGATACCGCATTTGATGGCATATGCTGCCAATATTGGCAGAAATGGTGCTTCTAGTGTTGTACCGGGGTTAGGGTTGATGAGTGTGGGTTGTTTTTGGTGTTTTGAGAATGTTGAGTTTGAATTAGAGAAATAAAATTATTTAATTTTTTTTAGTATTAAAATTTTAGCAGAAGTGCATGATCTATTTTGTTACTCAGGATCCAAAGATAATTAATATAAGACAGGTCTAAAAATTTGTAAATTAGCCACGAATAAAAAACATCATTCCTCAAGTACTGTGTTTCATTTAAAGGGCACAACTAGTGTAACCGCCTAAAAAAATGTGATTTTTGGGAATTTATATTAAAAAAACTACTTTATCAATCATTTCAAAATTTTAGGAATATATTTATACATATTTTAAGAGTACATAGTAAAATTTTTACTATGAAAAAAATAAGAAAAAAATTAAATATTTTTTAAGTTATCGACGATCTCCAACGGCGCGACAAAAAAAGGCCCTTCACTGCTGCAGTGATCCCGGCCTTCTACGTGGATGAAATATAAAAAAAAAAATCTCGTTAAACTAGATAATATTGTCTGTAAAATGAACTACGATAAAGAAAAAAAATCGAAAATTGTCAAAATGGCGGCGTTTCATAAAAGTCGAATTTTATCATAAATTTTGGTCGTTTTTGGACTGCTAAAATTCGATTTTTGATCCGATCAAAAAATCGATAGGTCATTGTACGGAGAACTATATATAGAACATGTAAAAAAAATTCGTTAGTGATCGGATCATTTTGTTTTTGAGTAATCGCTGCAGCAAATTCGGAAAATGCTGTTTTGAGAAAAACGCGTTTGAAGATTAAATTATCGTTATACTATATACTATAAATATACTCTTCTCAAAGCTGTGACTCAAGAACTATTTAAGATATAATATAAAATATAGATAATTTAAAATTTTCGTATGTTATTTTTAAAGCTATAACCTATGGAAATATGAAAAAATTGAAAATTCGATTTTTGAACATTTTACACTAACTCTGGATTTAAAACTAATTAATTTCCCTTGGTACAAATGAAAATTTCAGCAAAAAATTACGTAAAAGTGACGTAGAAAACCAAAAAATTATTTGAAAAACAAAAAAATTATGTAAAAGTCCAAAAAATCATGTAGAAAAATATGAAGTGACGTAGAAAACTATAAAGTGACGTAGAAAACTATAAAGTGACGGAGAAATCCAAAAGATTATCCAGAAAACTATAAAACTGAAGCAGAAAGCCTTAAAAAAGGCAGGAAGCCTTAAAAGGCCAAAAAGACTTAAAAAAAAACAATTGAAGCAAAGAGAGAAAAAATTGGGATTCAGAGCCATAAAATTGTCGCAGGAGGCCAAACAATTGAAATAAAACAATTGAAATCAATAAAATTGAGACAAAAGGCCATAAAATTAAGACAGAGGGCTACAAAATTATGGTGGGAGGCCATAGAATTGAGGCAGGAGACTATATAATTGAGATAGAAGACCACAAATTGTTGTAGGGGACCACAAATTGTCACAGGGTATAACAAATTTATCTCAGGAGAGCATAAATTGACGCAGGAGGCCATAAAATTGTCTCTAAAATTGTGCATTTAGAGATGCACAAAACCATAAATTTGAAAGATATCATGAAATTAAAGCAAAAAGCCATGAAATTGAAGCAGAAAGCCATGAAATTGAAGCAGAAAGCCATGAAATTGAAGCAAAAGACCTTAAAATTGAGGTAAGAGTTCATACAATGGAGACAGGAGGCCATAAAGAGATTCAGGAAGCCATAAAATTAAAGGAGACCATAAATTGACGCAGAAAGCTATAAAAATTACGTAGATAACCAGATAAGAGACAACAGAATGATTTTAGAGACGACAAAATAGAATAAAAACATATAAATGGCATTAAAAAATGAAAAAATTACGTAAGTGACGACAGAATGATTTTAGAAACGACGAAATGACTTTGAAAAGTCAGAATGACTCCGGATACGACAGAATAACTTTAGAGACATCAGAATGACTTTGGAGGACAATTAAATTATCTTAAATATAACAGAATTACTTTGAAAGACGACAAAATGATCTTAGAGACCACATGTAATCTTTGAAGACGACAGAATAATTTTAGAGACAAAAGAATGTCCTTAAACACGACAAAATTACCTTAAAGATGACAAAATGACTTTGGAACACAATAAAATTACCTTAGAGACAACAAAATGACTTTGAAGGACGACAAAATTACCTTTGAGACAGTAAAATATATTTGGAAGACGACAAAATAACGTTAGAGACGATTAAATGGTCATGGAGTCAACAAAATTGCATATGTGATATAAAAAGCTGAATAATGGGAAAAGAGACAAAAAATGGCGTAAATGACGAAAGAATGATCCCGAAAACGACAGAATGATTTTAAAGACCACAGAATGATTTTAAAGATCACAAAATGATTTTTGAAGACTACAGAATGATTTTTAAGGCAACAGAATAATTTTGGAGATAACAGAATGACCTTAGAGACAACAGAATGATTTTAGAAACGACAAAGTGACCCTAGAGATGACAGAATGACTACAGAGACCCTACTAAACCTACAGAAATTCGTACTAAGCCTCTAAAAATTCGTTCTAAGCCTCCACATTCTGTAATATGCCTCCACAAATCTGTAATATGCCTCCATAAACTTGAATTAAGCCTCCGTAAAATCGTATTTGGCAAAAAATTCTATTAAGTATCAACAAATTCTTATTAAGCCTTTATAAATTCATATTAGGCCTCTAAAAATTCATATTAAGCCTCCAAAAATTCATTTTAAGCCTCCAAAAATTTATACGACAGAATAACTCCAGAGACAAAAAAATGATTTTAGAGACTACGAAATGACCTTAGAGACAACAGAATTATTTTGAAGGCAACAGAATAATTTTGGAGGTAACAAAATTATTTTGGAGGCAGCAGAATAATTTTGGAGACTACGAAATCACCTTAGAGGATTATTTTGAAGGCAACAAAATTATTTTGGAAGCAACAGAATAATTTTGGAGGCAACAAAATTATGTTGGAGGCAGCAGAATAATTTTGGAGACTACGAAATGACTTTAGGAACTACGAAATGACCTTAGAGGATTATTTTGAAGTCAACAAATTATTTTGGAAGCAACAGAATAATTTTGGAGGCAACAAAATTATTTTGGAGGCATCAAAATAATCTTAGAGACGACAGAATGTCCCGAGAGACAATAAAATAAAGTAAGGAACTTATATAAGAAAAATCGCGAAGGATTATAGCAAAATGGAGACAGCTTTTAGCAAAATGGCGAAGAAAATAGCAAAATGGCGAGATCGAGAACAAAATGGCGAGATTAAGAACAAAATGGCGAAAGTAATAACAAATTGGCGGTAAAACAATAAAATAATATCAAAAACAATAAGACAATTTACATAACTTTTAAATAGTTGTAAAAGACACAATACCACAAAATATAATAAAATATTTATGAGTTAAAATTTCTAGAATTTAGACAAATGCGGTTCTGTTCCATATAAAATTTTGCAAAAATTTGCGGGTTTTTGCAAATTAACGGTAACGAGACAACTTTCAATCACGTCAATCTTGTTAAACAAGTTTTACTTTCAAATATTTTAAGTACTGACGCACATCAGAGCAATAAGAAATAAAACAAAAATATTATATCAACTATATAATAATAATAATAATAATAATAATAATAATAAATATAAATCAGGCTTCAAATAAATTGCACTGCAGTCTATGAAGAGGTTCGAAAACTAAATTAATCGAAGACGCAACTCACGCCTAAGCCACTGTATTTACAAAATTTGATTTTTAGAAAAAAATATATTATAAAAAAATATTTTTGGTATTTTTTTTAGCGATAAGAAAATAGTTGTTATTGTAAAAAAACGCAATAAAAACAAGTTCTGGGGTCAATTATTTAATTATTATTATAATTGCATGCAATTATGTCATAATTGTTAATTATATGTTGATGTTCTGAGAATTGTAATGGGAATAACAAATTATGTATATATATATATATATATATATATATATATATACATATATATATATATAATTTATTTTTATATAAGTTCCAATTGTGACAAAAAATTCTTTGTCAAATTTAAGAAAAAAATTAGAAAAAAGTTTCATAAGGAATTTGTGTAATTCAATAACAAACGACGTTGCAACCTATTTTATTTTATAATTAATTTTATATATCTAAGCATCTTGCCAATAGGCAAATTTGAAACCTCCAACATTTACCCACTCTTTTATTTAAATTTATAAATTAATTATATATATATATATATATATATATATATATATTATAATTATAAACAAAAAGTTGTTCGTTCAACTTCTTTCTTTCTTCAGTCGAAGTTCGTCTTTGGACGAGAAAGGAAGGTGTTTGGGCAATTTTAATTAATTATTTATTAAATAATTTTAATTTAGTGTTAAATTTAATTAAATTTGTTTCAAAATGTTTTTAAAAATTAGTTTAGTTATTTTTTTAGTGATAAGTTTGTGTGATAGTGTCAGATTTTATGCGAATCCTGCTTCCAGGATAGATCGAGGTGAAGAAAATAAATATGTTAAATATATTTTAGTTTTAAAAATTTTACGAGAATTATCAAGAAAATTTAAAGAAAAATCGAAAATTTTGACAATTTAGTCCTAAAATTTAAATAAATTAATTTTGAGAATATATAAATAACTTTGAAGAGGAAAAAATATGAAGTTAAATAAAAATAATACTAAATTTTAGAACAAGTATTCTAAAAAGTTAAAAAAATTAAAGTGTGAAAAAATATCCTAAAGTTTAGACAAATATTGCAAAGTTTGAAAAAAAAATTCAACATATTTGAAGTTTGAAAAAATATTTTAAAGTTTAAAAAAATGTTCCAAAGTTTGAAAAAATAATCCAAAGTTTGAAAAAAAACGTTAGGAGTTAAAAACAAAATATTAAATTTAAAAACAAAATACTAAAGTTCGGAACTAAACTCAAAAGTTTGTCAAAAAATCAGAAGTTTGAAAAAAAAACCTAATGTTTATCAAAATATTACAAAGTTTGATAAAAATATTATACAATTTGAAAACAAAATCTAAGTTTAAAAAAATCTAACGATAAGTTTGAAACAAAATTTCCAAGTTTGAAACAAAATTTCCAAGTTTAAAACAAAATTTCCAAGTTTAAAACAAAATTTCCAAGTTTAAACCAAAATTTCCAAGTTTAAAACAAAATTCCAAAGTTTGAAACAAAATTCCAAAGTTTGAAACAAAATATTCTAAAGTTAGAAAAAAAATTATAGAGATTGAAAAAAATATTCTAAAGTTTGAAACAAATTTCTAAAGTTTGAAGAAAATTTCTAAATTTTGAAAAAATCTGAAAGTTGAAAAAAATTATTCTAAAGTTTGAAAAGAAAATTATGAAGTTTGAAAAGTTTGAAAAAAATATGAAGTTTGAAAAAAATTCTAAAGTTTGAAAAAAAAACTAAAGTTTGGGAAAATATATTCTAAAGTAAGGAAAAAACTAAAGTTTGGAAAAAACCAACTAAGGTTTGAAAAAAAATTGAAGATCAAAAAAGTCTAGGAAAAAATAATCTAAAGTTGAAAATATTAGAAGTTATAATTAAAAAAATTCAAAAGATTTTTTTTTAAAGAGTCGAAAGTTTGAAATAAAACCAACAAGTTTGAAATGAAACCGGAAATTTTAAAATGGAAATCGAGAAGTATTCAAATGAAACTAGGGAGTTTTAAAATAAAACTGATAAGTTTAAAATAAAACCGACAATCTTAAATTAAAACTAACAAGCTTAAAATAAAGCCGACAAGTTTTTTAAAATCATCCTGTAGTTAAAAAAAATTCTGATGTTAAAAATCAAAATCCTGGAGTTAAAAACAAAAATTCTGAAGCCAAAAACAAAAATCCTGAAAAGTTGACAAACAAAATTTTGAAGTTAAAAAAAGTCCCGAAACTAAAAAAGAATACGTTTGCAGTAAAAAATGCAGTTCAAAAAATATAATTGTATTTCGATTAATATTAAGAGTTTCAAAATAAATTCTGAAAGTGCACCGAACAAAATTTTCAAATTACAGAATTCAAAATTCTACTTTTTTTTCTATTTTTGCTATTTATATTATTCTATCATGTAAGTAACTTTAAGCAAATAATATTTTACTATTTATAGTAAGAGCGTCATTTATTAAATAATTCTTTTTGTAGGTCATGATTGCATTTTATTTGTTTTTTTTTTAAACAATGCAATCGTACATTTCATTATTAGCATATTAATGAGAAGACGACTAAATACTAAACGCGTTGCAATATGCAAATTTTACAGACTTCCTATGGCAAAAGAAGGGTCATGCACTTTATATTATTTAATAGACTGAGGGCTGGTGACATAATAATCAGTACGAAAGAATAATATAGATCAAATAATCTTGAAATCAATCAATTAGGGGTAGCAACCATTCCGTGTAAAAGCTCAATGCCATGAAGATTGTCACCTTCATAACCAATATAATGAAATAAAAATATTAGGTTGTCAAATATCTCCCTTCCGCTTTTTTGCTATTGGTTTATAATGTAAAAAGGCGGAAGGGAGATATTTGACAACCTATCACGTTCGTACAATAACCACTAATTTTTTTTTAACAATTATCTTTTTTAGATGTCTACCACCAAACCACAGATTTGTCCCAATCAGCAGAAATCAGAAACGAGGAAAAGTCACCCCAATTTTGGTACAAAAAAGCAAAAGAACAACTCAAAAAACATTTAGAACGTCAACCAAACACAAATATTGCCAAAAACATCATTTTGTTTTTGGGAGACGGAATGTCCATACCGACTTTAACAGCCGCCAGACTTCTTTTAGGGGATGAAAATAAACAATTGTCTTTTGAGAAGTTTCCTTACACCGGATTATCAAAGGTGAGATAATGGACTCATGGTAAAAATTAAAACTAGTGGTTTATGGCACCGTGCCTTGAGGCAAATTGCCAAAACTTCCCGTACCGTAACGAAATATTCGACAGATTTTAAACGTGTTCAAATACATTATTACAAATACTGTGTAACTTTCATTATTTTTGCTATCTTGCTTGTTATATCTGAGCAAATCAAATGTAAATCATAAATCAATTATTACATTAACAATCGTCATTTCATTTCGAATTCAATTTCAAAAAATAGTTGCCTAATTTACACAAAATTGAATAAGTGCTCCTGTATAGTCACAGTCTAAACGCATTTGCAAATAATTCTGTGCGACATTTTCACTTATACTGTGCTCAGCTTGGCGGCATTTTCACATTTTTCAATAGTTTTCTCACAAAATTGAAAAGTGTTCCAGTACATGAACAGTCTAAACGCACTCGGGTAAACATTTGTACCAGAGTGGCGCTTAGACTGTGCTTAGCCTGGGTATTTTTCTGATTAGAATTTTTAATCCAAAATTACAAATAGAATACATTTTTAAATAAAGGATTCTACTGACGAGCAAACTAAAATAGGAGGCAGTAAATAAAAAAGGAATACACGATAAATCCAAATTTAAAATTATTCTTATAAATGAACCATTGGTCTTCCACAGCCCTACAATATTTTAATATGTTCTTTAAGACCAGGAACACTATCGAGTAAAAAAGAGACTCTACTGACAAGCAAACTAAAAAAGAACACAATTTTATAAAAAAGCACTCTACTGACGAGTAAAATACAAGATGAATAATTGATAAAGGGACTGTACTGACGAGCAAACTAATAAAACAATTTATTAGAAAAAAGACTCTACTGACGTGCAAATTATGAGTTTTTTTAAAAACAGAAACTCTACTGACGACCAAATTCAGATAATATTTGGAAAAAGGGCGAACTTTACTGACGAGTAATTTTTCTAATAAAAATTAGGAAAAAGGAACTGTACCGACAAGCAAATTCTAACTTGTTTAAAAAAAACAACTCTACTGACGAGCAAAAATTTTGTCGTTTTTAAAAGAAATGTTAACGTTTTTAGAGTTCTTTTTTCTTCTAAAAATGTCAAAATTTGCTCGTCAGTGCAACCGTTTTTATTTCAAATATTATCTGAATTTGCTCGTCACTAGAGTTTTTTTTTTTTTTAAAAAATTGTAGAATTTGCTCGTCAGTAGAGTTTCTTTTTTCCTAATTTTATCTGAATTTACTCGTGAGGTTCGTTTTTTAATATGAATTTGCTGCTCGTCAGTAGAGTTCTTTTGTCTAAAATTAATAGCAGTATTTGCTCGCCAGGAAAATTCTTTTTATTTGTAACAAAAAACTAAAATTTTAAAAATATTACATCTTTTTTTATTTTCCATAAAATATTTTTGTAATTTTGGATTAAAAATTCTTAAAATCACCCAGGCTAAGCACAGTCTAAGCGCCACTCTGGTACAAATGTTTACCCAAGTGCGTTTAAACTGTTTCTTTTCCAATTTTGTAAAAACTATTGAAAAACGTGAAAATGTCGCCAAGCTAAGCACAGTGCAAGTGAAAACGTCGCACAGAATTATTTGCAAATGCGTTTAGACTGTGACTATGCGGGAGCACTTTTTCAATTTTGTGTGAATTAGGCAACTATTTTTTTTGAAATTGAATTCGAAATGCAATGACGATTGTTAATGTAATAATTGATTTATGATTTACATTTGATTTGCTCAGATATAACAAACAAGACAGTAAAAATAATAAAAGTTACAGTATTTGTAATAATATATTGGAAAACGTTTAAAATTTCTCGTTCAAGCAATTTGCCTTAAGGCACGATGCCATACACCACTAGTTGTTTATATTATTGATATTACTTATGACGTCAACATAGTCTCCGACGTCGTGTCAAATTATAAACAACCTGTTATCAGTAATTAATTTACCAAAACAATCAACAATAAATTGTTTTATTATTTACAAACAAACCATTTTCTCTCCGAAGACGTATTGCGTGAATGGACAAACCGCAGACAGCGCTTGCAGCGCCACCGCCTATCTGTGCGGTGTCAAAGCGAACGAAGGCACGGTTGGTGTCAGTGCTAATGTTAGTGAAAAAGATTGCGATGCTATGAACCAGGAAAGGAACCAAGTTAGCTCTATTGCTAAATGGGCACAGGATGCAGGAAAAGCCACAGGTAATAAAAAAAGCTATCTAAAATTTGAAGAGATTATCTAAAACTTGACCAAACTAAGTAAAACTTGACCAGACCATCTAAAATCTAAATAAAGCATGTAAAATTTGAACAGACGATATAAAACTCAGCCATACCTTCTAATACCTTAATAAACTATAAAAATTATCATTATCAAAAACTATACACAATGTCATGACATGAATATTTTGATTTTCTCCATGCCTACATGATTCCCACAAATACTCCCTCTGTCCAGTGTTGACATCGCACTAGTTCAAATATGCACGTCAACACGTTGTATTTATCTGGTGGGAAGGCAGATTATAGAGATGTGAATTTAGCATCTTTCAGCACATGAAATCATATACAAATTCATAAAGGTATGAACACAATCGTAGTCCGCCACAATTGGATATGAATCATCTGGCATAATCATCGAAGTTAGTAAATCATTATACGAACTTGTCGATGAAGTATCTCAGACAGTTGGATATATAAGAGCAGTTGATTCAATGAACTTTCATAAGAGCTCACTGTTTGAATTTTTGGAGTCGGTGAGGACAACGTGAATGAAGTATCTAAATCCAGTTTTAAAAACAACATACAATCAAGATCCAGTTCCAAAGTCTTAAGCATTAAAAGACGATTTGGTGAGTTAAAGGACAAGGAGAGGTTGAATTGCGATTCCAGTGAACTTTTTGGTGTCAGCAATAACCAGAGGCCTGGACATACAGAATAAGTATGTCAATGGAAGTCCGGTGTCATGGCTAGAGTAAATGCATTAACCCGAGATGAGCCGAGGACTGGGCGTGCTTTTAAGTAGCCAAAAGTGATTAGGACGTTGCATCAAAGTCTATACTTTTTTTCAATTCTTGATCCATGTTCAATTGCTATCTTCATTGTAGATGTCGTAAGTCACCAATATAGAAAAATATGAGTTAATAGAGAGATATTTCTATGTTTTATAAAATTGTATCAAAGATTATCATTATCAAAAACTATACAAAATGTCATGACATGAATTTTTGTTTCTCCAAACTCATGGCCTCATTGATTCCACAAAACCATCTAATTCTTGACCAAATGATCCAAAATTAAACAGACCATCCAGAGAATTCGCAAGTTAACCAAACTATCTAAAACTTGACTAGACCATCTATAACTTGACCAGACAATCTAAAACTCAACAAAACCATCCAGAAATTCATCCAGACCATCTAGAAGCTAAGCAGGCTATCTAAAACTTGACCAGACCATCTGAAATCTAAATAAACCATCTAAAACTTGACCAGATGATCTAAAACTCAACCAAACCATCCATAAATTTATCAAGATAATCTAGAAGCTAACAAGACTATCTAGAACTTGACCAGATCTTCTAAAATCTAAATAGACCATCTATAAATTAACCAGACAATCTAAAACACAACTAGACCATCCAGAAATATATAGACCATTCAGAATCTTACCAGAATATCTAAAACTTGACTGGAAGATCTAAAACTCAACCAGACTATCCAGAAATTCATCCAGACCATCTAAAACTTGAGCAGAACTTCTGAAAACTAAATAGACTATCTAAAACTAGACCAAACAATCTAAAACTCAACCAGATCATCCACAAATTTATCCAGACTATCTGTATAAGAGATAACCAGACTACCTAAAACTTAACCAGACAATCTAAAATCTAAATATGCCATCTAAAACTGACCAGAAGATCTAAAACTCAACCAGACCATCCAGAAATTTAGCCAGATCATCTAAAACTTGACCACACCATCAGAAATCTAATTAGAGCATCTAAAACTCGAATAAAACATCCAGAAATTTAAAAAAAATCGCTTCATACAGAAAATGATTTTATAAGTGAATTTAATAAATTATAATTGAACTAATTTTTATTAAACATTCCCATTATTATAATAAACATACATATATGTGCGCAAAATGGGCTTTGTAATAATTTTTGTTTCTTTCCTTTTCGAACGGAACCGGCACAAACATGAGAACCGGTTTATGAATCGGTTTTTTAATTTTAGCGTTCCGGCAAAAAAAATATTAGCACAACACCACTGTAGACACCCCAAAAAATATTTAGTCACCTCAAAACATATTTTGACACTCCAAAACATATTTAGACATCCCAAAACTTATTTAGACATCCAAAAACTTTTTAGTTAGACATCTCAAAACTTATTTAGACGTCCCAAAACCTAGTTAGACATCCCAAAACTTAGTCAGACATCCCAAAACTTATTTAGACATCCAAAAACTTTTTAGTTAGACATCTCAAAACTTATTTAGACGTCCCAAAACTGAGATAGACATCCCAATACTTAGCCAACCAAAAATTTGAATATCCCTATACTTATCCATCCCTATACTTAGACACTCCAAAACTTAGACATCTCAAAACTAGGGACAAGGTATCGAATAGAAGGTATCGATACTTTTTTCGTGTCGCAATTTGTCGTTAATAAGACAAAATATTTGTACACAACAAAATTTTCTTTTGTCTCCAATATCGTTATTACAAGCAGATAAGCGTAATATACAACAAACTAGCTGTAAGTGGAATTCTGTCTTAAGGCAATTAGGGCATCGTGCCTTAAGGCAAATTGCTGGAACTTCCCGTACCAAATATTATTATTTTTAAAAACGATTAACATTTTTGAAAAAAATTTACTTCGAAAAAATAAGATTTTTGAGAAACTATAAAATGGACAAAAAATTACTTTTTTTTGAAAAAAAAAAATTTTTTTTAAAATTTTTTTAAAAAAAAATTTTTTTTAATTTTTTTTTTTTTTGAAAAAAAATGTTTTCTTTATTTTGACATATTTTGGAAGATCTGAACTTGTTTTTCAAAGCAATCGCACTGCTTTAATTGCACAGAGACAAAATATAAAGCGTTTAAGCGCGGCGTCGCTGTCTAACGGGTAAACATTGATACGGAACCCATAGGAAAATAAACAAAATTTATACTTATTGTTAAAATCTCTATAAAATATCTGAAAATTTGATGTGCATATGTCTAATGATCATTTTTGACCGCCAAATAGCATTTTTTTTTTACTTTTTTTGTTAGATCTCCGAAACCGCTAGACCTGCCTTCATGAAAATTTGATCAATTCTTTATCTTGTTAATACAAGTAAAATGTTTTTTGAATTATTAAAATCGGACGCTCCGTTCTCTTAAAAACTGAGTTACCGTTTCCGGCACTTTTGCCCCGTATCTCCGAAACGGCTAGACCTGCCTTCGCCAAAAACTAATCAGCACGTCTCCTTATCAATACAAATCGAATGTTTTTTGAATTATTCAAATCGGTTGATCCGTGTTCCCGAAATCGTCGACGAAAATTTGTATCCGCACATACATACACACACGCACACACACACACACACACACACACACACACACACACACACACACACATACATCCATTTTTTCTAAGGTATGCCAAAATGTTCAGAAACCTCTAAAACGTAAAGATATATAAAAATTTTCATTTTCGATTTTTTTGCGATTACTATAACTTACCCTACGGGAAGTTAATAATAATTAATATATAAATAAACTATTTAATTATTAAATTTTAATTAAGTTTATATAGTTTTTAGAAATAAAAAATAATAATCCTTCGAGCCGAATTTTAACCAACGACATATGAATTTCAGCATTTGTTTACATTCTACAGTCCACCGCTAGCGACACGAAAAAAGTATCGGTTCATTCTATTCGATACCGTGTCACTACTCAAAACTTGGTTATATAACCTAAAAATGATCTCGACAACCTAAAACTGATCTAAACAACCTAAAACTAATCTAGACAACCCTAAACTGATCTCAACAATCTAACTAGATTTTAAATTATCTATTTTCTAGGTATCATCACCACTACAAGAATCACCCACGCCTCACCATGTGCCAACTACGCCCACACAGCATTCCGAGATTGGGAATCCGACACCGACGTCTTAAATTCGACAGAAAATCCCTTAAAATGTCGAGACATAGCCCACCAGCTGGATCACCAGGAACCTGGTAAAAACTTCAAAGTCATCCTGGGCGGAGGACGCGGTAAATTCTTACCCAACAATACTTACGATGAGGAACAAGAACCTGGTCAAAGGAGCGATGGTAGAAATCTGATCGAAGAATGGAAAACCGAGATGGGCAAAAAGGGTAAAAGTGAATATGTTTGGAACAAAGGGCGACTGGATGCTGTGGATGCTAACAAGACTGACTTTTTACTCGGGTTGTTCGAGAATGATCACTGCAAGTACCATTTGGATGTGGTCGATGAGAATTTGGAGAGCAAGGAGCCTAGTTTGAGCGATATGGTTGCAAAGGCTATTGATATTTTGAGCAAGGAGGAGAAAGGATTCTTTTTATTCGTTGAAGGTAACTATATACAAATCCCTTCTGTTTGATAAATTATTTATTCTGGTGTTGCACATTTTAGGTGGCAGGATCGATCATGCCCATCACGATACAAAACCACGCAAAGCCTTGGATGAAACCATAGAATTATCCAAAGCTGTGACTACAGCCCTTGAAAAAACAAACCAGAAAGACACTCTGATAGTGTCACTGCCGATCATGCACATACAATGAGCATGTCAGGATTTCCAGTAAGTAACCACAATTAAAATTTAACCCACTACTATAATCTTCTATATATATATAAAATAATAATAACGCACGAACCCCAGAAACGCACGATTTCGACAATTTTGCATTCGTTGAAGGTCTAGGGCTCCGCAAGGTTTATAGCTAAGAAAATTAGTGGTGCATGGCATCGTGCCATAATGCAAATTGCTGAAACTTCACGCACCGTAATTAAAAATTCGAGTAATGACATTCGTGAAAATTATCAGAATTATGCTTGGTCAAGTCAACGAGCAATCGTGGCCGCAAAGAATAATCATGTACACGCACTGAATTTCGCCATTCAATCAAAAATTGCTGGCGATTTGGTGAAATACCAATGATTCCGACTGGTCTTCCGTTTGACTTCAAACGATTGCAATTTCCAGTTTGCCTTGCGTTCGCAATAACAAGTCGCAAGGCCAATCGCTTAGTGTTTGCGGGATAAATTTCAAATAGATTATTTAGAAAATCATTGTTTTTCACATGGGCAGTTATACGTCAGACCATAAAACAAAAAATGTGGTTTACCACAAGAACACTTCAATGAAACGGATAATTTGCGGATTCACTTTCATTTACTTAGAGAAGTTCAACTGAAAAACACTTCATTTTTGTAATCGAAATAAATTCATTACTGTTGTGTAATAAAATCAAATTTTTCCTTTTCAAATATAAAACAAACAAAAATTTCTTCATATTTCTCACGAAACCATCTAGTGGCGAAACGGAGTTCGTCGGGTTTGCTAGTAATAATAATAAATAATAATTCTTATTATTATTACTATTATTATTATTAACTTCCCGTAG